ATTTATGTAAATCAAAGTGTTTTTTTTTTCTAATACATTTTTGTCATTACAATGTCTCTTTGTCAACATTAGATATTTTATACAATTATCTTATACCTAAATTTGCAAGATCTGTTCACTTTTCTGTATCTCGTGTCTTGGCCTAGATCTTGCTTACAAGACGTACGACTAGGGTTTCTTATTACATTAATTTTCTTTCTTTTCTTTTCAGTTTGAAAATGATCTGATCAAAAAATATTTGCATACAGCAATTGAAACGATTACTTCAGTAAGATTATTTTATTTATTTTTCTTCTTTCACTTGTCTTTTCTTTTTATATAAAATATTTTGAAAATTATCTTTCTACTATTATTAGTCAAACGATCGATTGTCGATTGTAATATCAACGAATGGACGACAATGTCTCATTTGTATGCTTAGAATTCGAGAAAACAAAGAGAAGACTAAAATTGTTTTTCTCTTAAATTTTATATTGTATGTTAGAAATGTATTGTATTTATTGAAAATAAATGCGAAAACCTCGGAGTTAAATCCGAGTGTTATGTGAACTTCAAAAAGTGAAAAGGTATATTCACTTTGTTTTTTATTTGTTCAAAAATAGAATCAATCACACTCTCAAGCTTTGAAATTGGTCATAGCAAGGTCTTGTTTCATATTGAATTTGATATAAAATAATTCTAAGAATAATTATCAATTCTACTTGCGTTCGTGTTTACTTTGATTTTTTTTCTGTCTTATCAATCAATGGCAACTAGTAGTGAAAATTCATCTGGTCATCAATCAGTTGTTATAGACAATGATGAAAGAATAAATGCTGAGAGTAATTGAACAATTAATCATATCAAAAGTAAAGTTGTTATTCCGAAGAATAATGAATATGTTCTTATTGGTAATAAATCTTTAATTTAAAAACTAAAACGAATATTTTATTATTAGAAAAAGGTGTTAATGGTAGTTTTGTTACCGTTAATCGATTTAAACACTTTGGTTTTATCAATCGGTAATTATGATCCTTTTTTTTGGTATTTAATTTCATTTGTTTTCCAGTAAAGATAAAACTGAATGGCCTGATATTTTCGCACGAGAAGCTTCAATAATTGATCAGATTCATTCAAAGAAATTTTTTATGGCTGACACCTGCAGATTTGATATTATGAAAAGTGAGTTATTTAACTCTATTTGTAATATAAATAAATAATATCTCCTTGTCTTACAGCTCCTCGTGGTTATGAAGTTATCAACATTAATATTATCGAGAGAAATATCAATCCATTCGTAAATTACCTAAAATTCCGAAGAAATAAAATGACATATTAATGAAGTTATAACTATTTCAAAAGAATTTTGTGAAAATATAAGTGTCGTTGATGATTTTAACATAAATTTGAAGATCAAAATCAATAACAAATTTATTGAATATATGGAATCATTCGGACTTAGTTTGAATAATATACTAAATAGAGATTCAACTAATGCAAAAACGCATATTGACTATTGCTTCACTAATGTGAAAGACTTAAAATCTGATTATTTTGAAAATCTTACAAGTTTTCATAAATCAATATCAGCGTGGCCACGCGTGACGGAATTTCATTTTTTCAGACTGCAAAACACAGAACTTCTTAGTAAAATAAGAAAACTATCCGAAATTTTTATCACAAGTAGAGCTTGCTTACATCTGTAATCAGTAAAAATTTTACCTATTTCTCTTCAACCGCAACAGAGTTATTCAAAAAATAATGACCATTACGGAATTTCTGAAAATGGAATTTTTTTTTCGGATGACGATGAGTTAAGCATTTTTATACGAAAGAACGAAGTATTCAAATCAAGGTTGCATTCAACATTTGTTGAGCTTTTAACAAACTATTAAGCCATCAGATCATTTCTCTTCCACCTCAGCTTCATCAATTAAAAAAAGTTGAAATATCGCTCGTTACAGAATTTCACCTTTTTCTGAACTTCTGGCGGAGAAGGTTTGAGAACTTACTATTTCAAACTATAAAAAAGAAAACTCATCTTTTTTCTGATACATGAGTAGTACAAGGACAGTTTTATCTTTCCAGTATGTGAGTTTTTTTTCTGACAATGGAATTTCATAAAAACATCTAACTATTTTTGAGACAAAAATGCAATGTGAAGAAATAAAAAATTATGCTTTTTTGATGAAATTAGTCAATAAATCTCTTTTTCAATACCTGTCAAACCAAAAAGTCGAGCTCTTATCACTTCTCTTATAACTTCCAGCAGATTTGATAATCGATTGATAGCACTCTTCCGATTGATCGAGACAGTATTCCTCATTTTGTTATTTTAAACCTTCCACACAGAAGGGTGATCGATGCGTGGCCATGCCGATATGCATAAGAAAACATAAAGTTTTGACTAAGTTTCATTTTTTCAAGTCAAGTCATACACACAAGTCAAGTCGTATAATAAAGTCAAGTCTCGTCTCAAGTTGGTTCTTAAGATACAAGTGCAGTTGCTTTAAAATTTCCAATTCTATCTTGTATCAATTTATTTATAGAATAATTAAATTAATCCTTGATTACATTTTAACATGATTAACATCTTTAAGATCTTTCTCGACATTTTTGATCTATGTTGTCGAAGTATGAAACCACTTTGAGAAAAAATTCGTTCATCAGATGAAGATGTTGCAAGAACTGCCAGCATTTTTTTGACAAATGGTTTAATGTTTTATACTTGGTCGATTGATGAAGTAAAGTAAATCTATCTGGATCATTATCATCATCATTAAGATAATTTTTAATTTCTTCCTTAATAAATGCAAAATTATCACTCTTCTGTTTTTTAACAACTTTGCTTTCAATATTTGAGAAAAAACTTTTACGTTTTGGTGTTGATCTTGGTGTTGTCGCATTCGCTAATTGTTCATCATCAGTAACAAGTACAGCATGTGTTGTTGTTGAAGAATAATTATGTAAAAGTACAACATAATTGTCATATATCATTGTTTTTATTTTGTTGCAAAGAAAATTTTTTGCTTCTAATGGTAATGATGATTCAGTAACCCAATGTAACTTGAACTTTCCATCAAGAAATGATGAATAAATTAATATTTGATCACGATAAAGGTCAGATGAGCTTTTTTGTGGAATAGATTTGTCAATATCAACACCTAACTCTTCCAATAGCCCACCAAATCGAGAAACCAATGAATTTAATAATGTATGACATAATGATGACGTATATATAACATTCGATTGTTCTTGTAATAAGTCATAAGAAATATTTAATACAGTTGGTGCAATAAATGATATTGAAGGAGTATTTTCAGGGTGTGTTAAAGTTGTTGCCTCAGCAAATAACGTTAGTAATGATAAAAATTCATTTAACATTTGATAATCTTTAGTTAATAAACAAAGATCTTTCCGTTTGATCGAAATTAAGATTCCATTTAATTCTGATGGTGGAACACGTAAAACCTTTTCAACAGTGTTAAACTGGCTGTTTCAACGAGTTTTATTTGCTTTAGGTATTGACTTTCCTATGTTTTTCAGCTTCTCTGAAAAAATAATACTAGTGTGAGATAGCTTGGCTATCTTTGAAACTTTTGATAAAGCTGTTTGTATTGATGAAATCTGCTTTAAATCATCCTTTACTACCAACTGTATAGTATGAGCAAAGCATGGTATACGTAATGATTCACTACTTGTAGCAACATTATCAAAACTATTTTTAATTAATTCAGTTATATTCGTCTCATCTTTATCTATATTTTGTACAATTAATTCTTCACTACCATTATCATTATCATCATCTAAACCAACATCACTTCCTTCGTCATCATTATCATCATCTTCAACATCAAAATAATTCGCAAAACCAGGTATTATTAAATTCTCAAATGCTTTAATATTGCTGGAAGCATTATCTGTCACCAAACGAACTAATATTGTTTGTATGTCAAACATATTAACAAAACTTTCATACGTTTGTAACAGTAAATTAGCATTATGTGTTCCATATAAAGGTAAAAAGCATAATACGTAAGATTTTAGTATATCATTAACAAAAGCATGATCTTACAAAAATGAACCAATCAATGCAGCCATCAATCTTGATCACTTTCTTCTTCCACTAGATTTCAATAATACTACAGAGACTAATCAAATTTCAAGTCAAGCTCAAATAATCGATGATTTAATTGAAAAATCACCATTTATAACTATGAATAATAAAGACCAATCGGTCCGGTTAAAATCGAAAACAGAATATTCTATTCAAGCGTTCGATTTTGTTTATGCTAGAACATGCACGACTGCAGATAACAATTGTTTATATAGTTCTCTTTCCATAATAAATATTGGATCTGAAAAACTAACATATTCGATGAGATTGTTGGCAGTTAATGCAATGATCAACTATAGCGATTATTTCCTAACACTTTGTAAAGTATTGCAGTATTCATTTGAGGAACAGTTGAAAAGAACCGCTATGGATACAATATGGGGTGGAGAAGTTCAAATTCAAGCACTTTCTATGGCTCTATCTCATCCTATCTATTCATATATTCAGTTTAACAGTGATCCAAAAAATAGACATTATATTTCATCGAATATTAGTTTACAGGAACTAGTCGATCGATTTATTAAAGGAACAGCAGGTGGTCATCTAAAATATATAGGATACAAATCCGATATGAATAAACTAGGACTCTGTATTTACTATAATCTTAGTCATTATGATGCTTTTTTTTACCTATTCGAGATAATCCTCAACAATTTCTACTGCACTTTGACATAATTAACATGAGTTTATAAAAAGAAACACAATTCAGCTAAAGCAAAACAGTTTATGCGAATGAATAAAACTTTCGGAACTAACTTCTCGTCACATCCTACGGGACAAAAAGAGGGTATCCACAGGACCTAAGGGGCAGCTTCTTAGTGCGCTCAAGGATAAATATTTTAGACAGTTTAATAATAAAAATTAATTATCTTGAGTGTATACTCGGCATTTTAACCTTTTCTCGTGAACGGTTTAGCCCTTTGAGCTAAAGAAGGTCTCAATTGGACAGAAAACAGTTTAATCTATAATTCACTACACCCAAGTGAGTAAGTTATGAGATAAAAAAGTGATATAAGCCAAAAACTGCGTAAATTCAACCAAATAGCATACTCCGAGAGGCGGTATTATGGACTTTTCTCAGGTGGTGCACTAGGTCTTGTATTTATGTTTTTCTATAAGACACAAGTAACGTTCATCGTCAAACGATTCACTTAGCCCTAGACTGATAGAATACATATAATGATGTAATAGCATAAAAAGCTACATTAAAAAAGTAATACGCAAAATTGATAATATGACCAGTATATCTTAGGCGATCAGAAAACTTAATCTGGAGAATTCTCACTCTAAGTAAAGATGATGCATTTACAAATTTAATTTTTTTATCGTTTTTGTTTTATTTTTTTTTGCTTTTATAAATATAAATAGCGCTCAATAAGATTTAGACAACAATACGATTTTTTTATAATTATATTGGCGCTATTTTTACGTACAAAAATATGAATTATGTTTTTCATAAAATTTGGGTTTTATTAATCAATATTTTAGGCTTAAATTCGCGCATTAATTCTAAACTATTAAAATAAATTATATATTCATTGATACAACATTGTACAATCAATCCTACAATAATGAATAATTTAAACGATTTCTTTAAATCCATACTGCTCATTTGGTCTGACTTTCACTAATTACATGCTTTTGTAAGTCGTTTTACACCACTACCGGAATTATAGTTATTCCATTGACATTTCACCCATGATTATTATGGGTTCATTTGCATCAGTCTTTAGATGGTCATTTGTACCACAGTTACCGGAATAGTTGTTTGTATTATGGTTGCTATATGGTCACCTGTGCCATAGTTACGCGGTCGTTTGTACCAAAAAAATGACCGTTTGTGCCATAGTTACATGCTCATTTATACTATAGTTACCTAGTTAGTTTTAGTAAAAAATGACCGTTTTTACCAAAAAAATGGTCATTTGTGCCATGTTACAGACAAAAGCCATACATGCAGTCAGATGAATTCCCGTTTCTAGACCCTATCCTTTCAGTCTAGGGAATAGATCTCATCAAGATACATCTCTTGTCACTAAATTGCAAGGAGCAAATACAGGCGTGCTAAGTTAGCATGGACCACAGTGTATGCAACCCTATCCGGTGACCACTGACTGACTCTACTCCCAGAGTGATATAATATCTTTAGAAATCACAGAAATTGAGTTCAGATTCATGTTTAGCTTGGAAAACCGGGTAAGAAGAGTTATTTTTGAATGGATTTGGGTTTGTATCTATAAATAACCAATATTAATAGCTATCGAGTTCGGGTTTTTACTTTTCAATAGTTCTTTTGACTAGATACAAAACCAGGCATTTTGGAAACCCCACCCCTACTGGTCATATGAGACATATCTAGGCAATTTGGTTTCTGAATGCAGTTTTTGTGCATTTTGAGACTTTTTTCAGGTGATGTTTTGTTAGAAAGCTACGATTTGGTTCCAAACTAATATCAGATTCAGAATCAGCGTTAAAAACTGAGTCGATTTATATATTTTGTGAATAATTCTGAGGAAAATATTTTTTTTGAAAAAATCCCTGTACCTCCCTCCCTCAGGGACGTTCTGGTCAATAATGACATATTTTTTGATAATTCAGCCATTTCTTGACGGATTCTTCTCATCTTCGAACTCGACCGAGATATTGATGAGACAATTTTGTGCACAAAATTTCAGCTCAATCAAATGTAATTGTGAAGAGTTATCGGGTAAACGGACGGACGGACACACTGAACGATTCTAGAGTGTACTCACTTTTTGAGTACAGAAAAACTAATTCAGATAAATTTATTATTTCTTTTAAATTAGTTTAGTTTATATTCTCAAATTATTGACAAATGTAAAGAACAATATACTATGATTAACAAAAGAAATACATCATAATGTAATTATCATTGAAATATGTAAATATCGAATTCTCTTATTTAACATACATTAATTTGGTTGTTTTTCTTTAATGATAAAACAAGTGAATCATGTGCAAATTTAACAATGGCTATTCGAACGAATTATTACATGTTTGTGTATGAGTTTTCTTTTTCTTGTTGAATGCTTCAGGAAAAAAAACATTATTTATTATTGGGCAAGGACGCATCTTGATGAAAATCGAACTAAAACTGCAAATCAATTGAAAAATCAATGTCGAATCAAGATAATGGTTTGTGAATTTTTAAAAATAACATATTATAAAATTCTTTTTCTGATCTAGCATCTGCTGTCGAATCACTTATTGTTAATGATAAAAATAAACTTATTGATCAGATGTAAAGCTTTTGTAAATTATATAGAAAAAATCCAAGTAGATTATGAAGATATTATTTAAACTTGATGACCTTGAAAAATAATTAGCTAATATACAAACATCAATTGTTGAACTCGAAACCTAGTATAGTCATATAAGTAAAAGATAGAAAAAAAGGAAACTATATTATTATAGAAATTACNTCGAAGAAAAATTCTTTTCCTTAAACACAAGCATTAAGACGAGCAATCATAGTTCTTGAATATTACCCGCAAGTGCCAACCTTCGACTATCACACTAATAAAAGAAAACAAACTCTATCTAGTGCATGACATAATCTGAACTCAATGATAAATCATACGAGAATAGGTATTGAAAAAAGGAACTGGAAATTATGATCGAAGAAAAACTATTCGAACTCACCAGCTATTAAACCAGTCTTTGATTCATACTTGAACATGAAAGGACATCACATGCATTATATAAGTCGAGAAATTGAACTGCCAACATATCATGCTAACATAGACATCTGAAACAAAATTAAACAAATATCGTTTTAGTGAAATCGAACTTACCACTAGATAGATTTCCAAACGTCAAACTTGGAGAAATGAAACTATTACATTTATAATTACATGTAAACTCACCAATAGCTAATATACGATGAGCACCTATATAATAATCAGGCGAGAATTATGATAATGAGGAGAGTGACTTCAACTGACCAATAAATAAATCTCTCGTTGGGCAACTGATACCGATGAGGACCAACATACTTGATATCAATATAGTGAGAAAAAGAATTGAATGGACTCAAAACAAACGATCTACAATAAAACAAAAAGAGGTAGTCACTGTTTTAGTAATTGCCGACTTACCGTTGCATATCCTCTACCACTGGAACCTAAAAAGAGTAACAAAATACTACAGAATGGATAATACAATCCGAACTTACCGCTCATTGAACGACAATCCACATCTAAACACGATTATAGTAATATTTTTCAATCCGAGCTAAAACAAAATCCTACTCAACGACAAAAAAATTTCCGACCGTAAATGGGTGTGGGTGTGGGTTGGGTGTGGGTGTGGATGTGGGTCTGGGTGTGGATGTGGGTGTGGGGTGTGGGTGTGGTTGTGAGTGTGGCTGTATCGTGATTCAATGGGCAGCCACACTCACACGCACCCACACCCACCCACACCCACATATCTAGGCAACTTGGTTTCTGGATGCAGTTTTTGTGCATTTCGAGACCTTTTTCAGGCGATGTTTTTGTTAGAAACCTACGATCTGGTTCAAAACTAGTATCAGATTTGGAATCAGGGTTAAAAACTGAGTCGATTCATATATGTTGTGAATAATTCTGAGAAAAATATTTTTTTTGAAAAATCTCTCTACCTCCCCCCCCCCCCTCAGGGACGGTCTGGTCAATAATGACAATTTTTTCGATCACTCAGCCATTTCTTGACGGATCCTTCTCATCTTCGAACTCGACCGGGATATTGATGAGACAATGCTGTGCACAAAATTTCAGCTCAATGGAATGTAATTGTGAAGAGTTATCGTGTAAACGGACGGCCGGACACACTGGACGATTCTAGA